ATACCAAGCCCAAGAAGCCAAAATCTTTTTTTTAAAAATCTAAATACAAATGTATCATTTAAATTGAGAACTCTCCAGATTATCTGTATTAGAATCATCTAATTCTTGTAGTGAAAGTAAGAGACTTTTGGGGCCAACAGGATTTGCTCTTGTTTCAGGGATGCTAAATACATTTCTTCACTTTTCATATATCAAAAGAGAAGAATAAAAATCTGTCTGTTTTGACAATTTAATGTTATATGTATTCCTGGAATACTTATTGAGAATTAACTATTTTTCTGAGAGATCTAGTAAGGGTGGCTTTCTACAAACCTTCATCTATTCAAAACACTTGTAGAATAGGAATGAAATGTGCCATTTGTCTGAAATTAATACAGAAAGGAAAAAAATCCTTTCCCAGGTGGTTCTCCTCACAAATATTTTTCTGCCAGCTGGGCTCATATAATGGAGCATTTCTGTACTTAATTAGCTATCCCTAACCCTATCTCTAATCCTTTTGCTTAAAAACCAGAAAATATTGGCCTTCCAGAAGGCTATTAAAACTTGGTTTTCCCCAAAATGTTAGAGCCTTGTTAAGGGAGTGCAATATATGTATACATTTTAACATTTAACCATAATTCTAACAAAGCTAATAGGGTGTACAAAATTCTTTTTCAAGATACACTTGTTTCTGCCCATTTTTTTCAAATTATGTGAATAATAATCTATTAAAGCAAATTCCTTGGCATGAATTATACTGTCCTAAGAGTTAAATTGCAATTATCCAGGTAATATGCAAGGCTAGAAATGAAGTGGGTTATATGCAGTGTACAGTAATAATTAAATTCACATAAGAGACACTGTCAAGAGAGTCAGATAAATTCTAGCATTAAATAAATCATAGCTATAGTACATATCAAAATAAGTATTGTTTATGAAGTATATTTTCTACAATATCAAAAAAGCTACATTTAAAACCATTATATATATATAATATATGTTTTATATATGCCAAATTAATAATCTTGATTACAATATACAGTAGATAGTTTATATAGATACAAGAACATAGCCATCTCAGTTCTTTGAACAATGATCATGTGAATTGGGAAGCTATTTATTTTCTGTTTTGCATTTTCTTTCTATTAAATTGCAAACCAGTATTTTAAATTAAGAACTGCCTTGATTGAATCAACAGAAAAGTTCCATATAAACTAAGAAAGAGAGTAAATTGGTGGCAATTAGAAATGTGGGCATTAGCTGACTTTCTCAGATTTATTGAAGAAGTTGTTCTGTTTTTGCATAATTCACCAAAAAGAATCAAGATGGGAATTGTTACAATAAAATATGGGTAAGGATAGGTGTATATACCCCCTTAGCCTTTGACACAGGAGAAAGCATAAGATAAATGAGATGGAAAGTAGGAGGAGATGGTATTTTATTTTGCGTTTCCCCCGAAAATAAGCCCCACCCCCCAAAAAAGACCCGATTTTGGGGGGTGGGCCTAATATAAGCCCTATACTCAAAATAACCCCTAATTAGTACCCTGCCCGCTCCGTCCCACCTCGTTGCTCCAATGGGGCAGGAAGGCCACGCAGCATATCATGTCATTGGGCAGGTGATCTGAGGGGCGAAGTGTGAAGAAAGCTCCTACAGCGGCGCATAGCAGTAGCAGTCTTTCACCATCACTCCCCCCTGGCTGCAAAACAGTGGAGGGGGACCGGGCCTACCCCGTCCATCTTCCATAGCATGGCACTCTGGCTCGGGAGGGGAGTGAAAGGGAAGGTCGCCAGCAAGGAATGGCCTGGCTGGGGTGTGTGTGAAGGAAACGGGTGCGGGGCACATGGGGCAGCTCCACCCTCTCCCCCACCTGCTTCACCTCGTGGCAGCAGCGCAATGTGTCGCGCGGCCTCCTGCGAACAGCCACAAAAGTGGGCCAGCAGCCACACAAGCTCTTGCTGGATGGGGCTGTTGGTGCTGCCGCCAGGAGGCAAGGCAAGGCAGGTGTCATGAAAAATATAAGATGCTCTCCGAAAATAAGACCTAATGCTTCTTTTGGAGGCAAAAATAATATAAGACTGGGTCTTACTTTTGGGGAAACATGGTAGCAAAGTTTGACATTGTAACAAGAGCATAGCATTTCTGTTACAATAGCAGCATACTTAGCTTCAAAATCATGGCATGCTAAATATTTTAATTTCTAATCTTTTGCTTTGAGCAGATTACGTTGTACTAATGTTTCAGCATGTCTTGAAGTTTTTCTATATATAGAATATTTCCAGAAATATTTGCCTGTTTTTCTTTCTGTGGCTCCCCACCCCTCACCCATTAATGTGGAATAGTCATAAATATTTTCTTACTGAATTGTGGGAAAGGACTTGACCTTTCTGCAAGGTTAGATTTCAGAATTCACTGTCACTAAAGAAACCCAACAAGAAAATATAGAAACCTTGAGTAGTGGCAAATATGGTTGCTTATCTCTTCAGTGTGAACTTTAAAGTAGAGAGTAGTACTAAAAAAAAATCACTTGACTGTATTTGATTGAATATCTAAAAATATAGGCTGCAGATTTGTTCCAAAACTATTGGTTATTTATGGTAATGCTAGGTCTCCATTTAGATACTGTAGTAGTAACTAGATTTCCCATCATTTTTTAGTAACAGGAAGATGTATTTCTCTGAAGTAATTATATTAAAATTCAACCTTGTTCTGTAATTTCCCACTGAAAACCACCTACAGTAGGCACTTGCATAGTTGCAAGACCAATATATGTAACCAAATATAGTCATTCGAATGAGAGATGAAAAGTGCCAATCAAGTGTTAACCGGTAAACATCTTTCACTTCATTGCAACCTAGAGAGAAGCAAACCAATCCTTCACAGAAGGAGCAAGTTGCTACAAATAATTTCATACAGTTTTTTTCTTTATTAAAATTTGAAAGATCATCTACAGAAGAACAATTATTTGTAGAGAACCATGACACTATCCCTCATATATTACAGCTAATTTCAAGCAGGAACCTGTGATGCTTGGTATTTAATTCCACAATAGAAATAAGACTGCAGTTCTATATCCATGTATCTTGGAGTAAGCTCTGTGAATCTCAGCAGGACTAATTCATCTGTTAATGGGTATATATTTGCATGTAAGCATCATGTGTGGAAAAAATCCCATATGTTCTAGTAATCAGTATTACAACTTAAATACACAGAAAATGTACCGGTTTTCAACTATTTTACATTTAAGATTTTGACAGGATATAATATTACAAAAGCGTATCATGACAATGTTTAGAATTGCAACATATTTATTATATACAGAAAATAGAAAAACAACATTTAAAAAAGCATTATTTTTGAGAATCCATAGGATCACAATAAAAAATAACAAATGAGCCAAGGATGACTGTTTTGTTTGCATTGTATGGTGCCTTTGCCTTTACTTTTTATATGTTCACATAAATAGGATATGTTAGTGCTTGTGTTTGTGCTAGCAGAACAGTGTAGACACCAGTGATGAAGTTCTTGATATATAAAATATACTCAATTTTGGAAAGGTATGTACACTGTATGTAGAAGCAAAAGATGACAATTTAAGAAGACAGTTTAAGTCTAAATATTACAAAACTAGAAACTAAGTCCAGCATAATGCTAGGCAAATTCACCACATTTTTCATGAACTTTCTTTTTTTTATGTTTATGAAGCCTTATCATAACTGGTATCAAGCAAATCAAATTATTATTTTGAAGTTGGGGCTCCACTGTAAATATATTCTTTTTCACAAGTTATCTTTAGTTTTTCTGAATGGCTTTTGCTATGTTATAAGGAAAGCAATTATTCTAGTAGGTTTAGCAAGATTCTGTTCCCACATCCTTTTTCTGGTGCTGTCCCTGTTTCCCAATATTAGATTGCTCACACTGGAAGGGGGAAAATAATAAGGTGCTTCATACATAAAATATCTGAAATCAAAATTCTGGTAAAGGGATAGATTCCATTTTCATTTCTTGTCTGAAGTGCTCATGACTGCAACATCCCGCCCCCCCCCCCCCCAAAGCCATTGATTTAACCAACTTGAGTCAGCATTCTTTTGTACTTCAGTGGAGATTCTATGTACTGCTTTTATAAATTTGAGCATTAATATATTGGTAATTTCCATTTATATCTACAGAAACCTGAATATAAACCTAATATAAACCAAATTCTCCTTTATGATTGCAATACATTAATGTAGCATTCAGTTAATCTCGTTCATTACAACAGTATAAATAACAGCAATTACTTTATCCATTGCAAGTGTATATACATATTTCCAAAGAAGAAAATGAAAGCTTCAACTTTTAAATAACTCAGTTATTTTTAATCTTATCCATACATTTCTCTATGGCTTAAAATAAAACATTTAAATCGGATATTAAATCTATATTGATTATGAGAACTTTAAGGAAGTAATGATAAGGCAAATTCTGCCAAATTAATGGGTTTTACTTCTAAGTATCTTGGGCCAGTCCAGAAAAAGCTGTGAGGAAATTCTGTTCACAAAATTCTTTGACCACACTAAACTGATGTTTGTTGATAAAATGGAAATGCTAGAGCTGCAGGAATGCAGAAGTGGATGTATATCTTATTACCCCAGTTGTGGATTGTTACATTTCGTTCATACTTTTCATCCTATTGCATAGAAAATGGGGATTGTGTAAGAGAGTTCCAACTATTTCTACAATCTGAAATGAGGTGTTTTGAGTCAAGGTGAATGAGCTATGAATTAAAGTTTTTTAATACTACATTTGGCACGGTTCCCTCACATTCAGGGTGGGATTTAGCCAGTTCATACCACTTTGGCAGAACTGGTAGCTAATTTTTTGTTGCCCAGGCCCAGAATGGACTTCTGGAAGCAGCATCCACACAGAGAACCGGTTGTTCACATATTTGAATCCCACCACTGCTCACATTCCAGTTTTAATCTCAGAGTTTGTTCATAAAGTTTTACATGTATGTTTTTATGCATAAACAAGTGCTCTTTTCAGCCACATTTTTTAAAAATCTGTAAGATCTTTTTCCCCAGAGCTGATTTCCACTGGTGAACAAAGCTTTTCATATTGACTATCAGTCTGCTTGTATGAATATCTTCATATCCCGCCACAAGATATTTCAAACCTGCAGATAAAATAGGCATATGTTATATCTTAATGATTTGTGCTTAACATATATTGGATAAATATCACTTATCATGAAACAAAAAATATTTAATTACAAAAAGAGGAAAAAATAATGTACATGAGAGTACTGTCCAGAGTCACTTAGATGAGATTTAATAAATAAAGTAGTTTTAGATAGAATTTTCATTGTGTTTATTGTAGCAAATACAATTCTTTATTACCAGTTAGTCAATATATTTTTGTTATTGCTATGTGCATGATATTTCCAAGATGATGACAGTATTATTATAGCAATTGTCATTTACAAGAGATTGTATTTATAATATCTCCTTTAAATAAAATATGTTTGCTTCACTAATTGTATATGGCTTCAGCAAAATTACATGGGAAAAGGCATATCACTTTGTTAATTAAAACACCTATAGAGTAATTTTTGTTTCTCCAAAAAATTAAGTTACCTGCACTATTTTGCGGGTTTAAGTTAAATTTTGTTGGGAGAATAATTATTTAGAAGATCAACACTGATAAAAGTAGTTAGTATGTGTTATAATTGGTAAGCAGTGAAGGAATTGCTTGCTATTAAATTGCTTTAATAATATAGGCAGTGTGGCCATTTTATTTTCAGAAGCATCAAGCTTTTTTTTAGCACATGGAACAAAATGAAATGTATATAATATACAATCAGTGCAATATCTATTTAGCTATCTGTATGATTTATTTATACAATAAATTATATATAATTATTTTTTTATGAAATAAATATATATAAATATCTACCAGGATTAAGTATTGGGCAGGTACAACCTCTGGTAGTCCATGATTCTGGGTAAAGAATCTGTTTTCCATGTAAAATCTTCAGTTTTGTAGATTTCAGTACTTTCTGGATCATCACATTGACCTCAGCATGAGACCCTTTATCATGAGCAGACAAAATCTTTGCCTTTACCACTGTGGGAAGACAATTTCAGAAGGAAGAATATATCTTCTCTTTTTATTCCACTGGAATGGAATGAAACATAAATATTGACTAAAAGCAACATGTGCAGTGTAGATCCTTTCAGAATTATTTTTAATTACTTTTAAAAGCCATACAGTGATGTTTTATGTATTTCCATATTCCATTGTACACTGCATAATGCATATACACACATGCATATACATACACAAATATATGGGATACAAAGAGAGCAATCAACCGAACTAGTGTCAGATCCTCTCTGTAATATAACAGTTACGACCATAATGGAACCTGCCCATCATGGTCGTAGATTGAGAGGAAGTTGGGAGGACCTTAAGTGAATCACATTAAGTGAACAAGCCCCAATCCCTGCTCTCCCCAATGCATTTGTTAAATGAATCATAGTTGTTAAGTGTGCATGGTGTACCTTAGGGTGAGGAAGAACTAGTGAAGGAACAAGACCACTTGCCTCTGGCCTTCAAAGGCCTCCCCCCACCCACTGAGATGTCCCATCCTCCGCTTCCCACCCAGTGTGTCCCCACAGCTGTTTGGGATTTCTCTGTGCCAATCCCGTCCCTGATTGGTCACTTACTTTGTTAAGATCTTCAGCATTTATATGTCAGAGTAGGACAGGAGGACAGGCCACTCCATTGCTGGACCACGTGGCAGAAAAGTGGCCAAGTTTTTCTTAGACACTGGCAAAGCTGTTTTCCTTTTGTCGCTAAATGCTAACCTTCCCCCTGGAAATAATGGGGTAGGGAAAACATGCAGCCAATGGCAGATTTTGCCTTCCTACATGCTTGCCTCCTCCCAGTGAACATATGCAGCCAATGTGAATGCAAGGATGTAGGAAGATGGGACTTGCCATTGGCTGCATGCGTCCACTAGGAAGAGGCAAGCATGTAGAAAAGCGAGATTTGCTGTTGGTTACATATGTTTGCTGGGAGGAGGCAAGCCTATAGGAAGGTGAGATTTGCCATTGGCTGCATGCCTCCCCTCCCCTACCATTATTTCCAGGGGGGAGAGGAGGCTAGCATTTAGCAACAAAAGGCTACTATAAGACTAGCAGAGCTAATGGTGGGGAGGAGGGAAGGCTAGCATCTATTGATGAAAAGACAACGGCTTTGCCAGCATTTGAGAAAAGATGGCCGCTTTTCTGCCACGTGGCCTAGCAATGGAGAGGCCTGTCCTCCTTTCTTACCCCAACATTCTGCGTTCCGGAGATCTTTGAAAGGTAACTGAGTGATCATTGACAGGGATGGGAAGGAGCATGTGGAACCTGGTGGGTTAGCAAAGCAGGCTCAGTGCCTGTGGAAACCTTGTGGAACAGGATGGGCGGAAAAATAGGTGGGCATTTTGCTGCATCTCTGCAGGCAATCATAAGGGTGAAAACCGCAGGGGTGCTGCAACCCGCAACTTTGGGACCAGGTTGTAAGTACTCATTTTTGGAAGGGAGCTCTGTTGCAATTTTGAACCATTGCTAAGTGATCTGTCATAATTTGAGGATTATCTGTATATCTCATTTGTTCTATGACCTGATTGCTAAGATTATGTATTATAAGTATGTATTATTGTTTATCTCTGTTTACAATACCATGAGCTCTAGCTTATTCATAATTTTAGATTTTTGCATAAAAAGAACCCCCAAGTGATACTTTTCCACTATATTATAATAAAACAAGTTGATTTCTTACAAGCAAAATAATTCAGACATTTAAAGTTACCTTTGCAAATAAAAAAACTGGGAGTTTCTACTTATTTCTTTCCCCACTGAAACATGAGTAGTTTTCAAGTTAGAAACCTAGAAATAGTTCTGTCATCACAATAATTGCCAGAAGTAAGGGAATGTACATTAGGAAAGAATAGAATTCATACTATGCATCAAATTCTATTTTTTCATGGAACATGTCTTATTAATAGGACACATACCAATAATAAAACATATACCGGTAATCTGTTGGAAAAAGTATAACTAGCACTCAAAATATGTTGCTAGCTTTCACAGTTTATTAAAAAGAAATTCCCAAATCAAAGGGTATAATATAGCTTAGCAGTTGAAAAATGTAGTGTCCTCATAAGCAATTTTCCATTTTGTCTGCATAATTAGTACATCACTTCACACTAATATCTAGTTCTGCTAATATTAGGAATAGTCCCTTTCATACATGCTATTATGTGCATTTTTTTCCTGGTATTTAAACATATTTACTGCTGATATCTACACTAATATGGGGACATCTACAGGATTTAGAGGGAAATCTGAAATCTGCTACTTTTTAACTTGTCAAAAGAATATTTTCTTTACCACAACAGGATTTGCTGCTGGTGGTATATTTTGTGTACCTAACACATCATCAGATTCTTCTCTATTTCATTTTAACAGTACAGCAGAGAGCAGCTTGTAATTTTTTTTAATATGACCACAACACATTTGCCTTCTCCCTGTTTCTTTGTCTTAACATCCAGCCTAAAGAGAAAATATTGTGAAATCAATAATAGAAAAAGTCTGGTATTGCTGTTGCACTTGTACAGAATACTGCCTTGGTAGCTATAATTAGATGCATGTTATCTACCCTGAACAATTTACAATAAAATTTTGGACTGTAGAGCTTATTCTTATTGATTTCTCCTCAGGCTATTTTTCAACTTAGTCCAGACTAAGAGAAGAAATCCATGTGTTGCTTCCTTAAAGTAAGACATATGTAGCTGGAACAAATGCAGTTTCCTATCTGAAAGAAGCAAACTGTTTCTCCAAGCCAAATTCTATCCTATCCTATAAAGAGATACTGAAAATCATGGTATAAGTCAAGATACCTTCTTACCTATCCAGTATAAAATGGCTTCTATTTATTTTTGTGAATCATGTTTGTAGGATTAAAGAATTTGAAATGAATAAATGTCTGCTAAGGAATCTTCTGCAAGAGAATATCTCTATTCTCAACACTTGTCTGATTTCATTTCTATATCAGGAAAATTTTTGTCCAATTAACTGTTGGGCCAGATACAACTGTTAAAAGCACTGGAAACCTGCCAAGAAAAACCTGATAATTTTTGCACTTTCCAGTCTATAGCACAATCAAAATGGTACATTAATTACTTCTTAATATCAGGATATACCACCTGCATACCTATAAATTAAAAAAGTAGAATTTAGACAATGAAAAGTGTTTATAATTTATTTTAATTCATTTATTACAAATGAGTACAAGCAGCCTAGTGCTTAGAAACAACATGAGAAAGTAAAGTTGTTACATTATATTGCTTCAGGTTCATGTAATTAAATATTTACTATACTTTTTTCCCATATTTTTAAACTAATTTCTGTAATTGTTCAGCCGTACAATAGACATGAATTTTAAGGTTTCATTTTGCCTCATCAGAGGTGCAGCATTCAGCCTAAGTGCAAAGGAACTGCTAGCAATGAGAAAAAGAAACCGGCAGTATGCAATCCAGAAGCTGCCTGTGTCCTCTGCTTAGAAAATAAAATTATAAGCATAGAGTCAACTACACATTGGTGTTAAAAGAAAGAATAAAACCCTTTTGGAAACATGCTTCTTGGTACTAGACTACCAAGCAAACATTGAGGGGAAACAGGCATAACTGATTGACTTGTCAGATAAATTGTTCACTAAAGATAGAGAAGCAGCACCATGTGAATTATGCTGTGGTTCTAAACTAAATGTTAAGCACATTAGAGTGTTTGTATCTAAAGTATATGTTCAGGTTCCTAAAGTAATAGAACAACAACTATTTTGAATGATTACAATGACAGCATATTAACTAGCTAATAAATGAGCTGAGCTGCAAAGAGTAAAGAATCATTGCTCTACAAAAGTTAAATTATATAATATGGAAAGGTAAAAGCCAAATACTAATTTGGATGTCATGAATTAATTCAAACATCTCACTAGAAGAAGAAAAAATGCAGAACCTCAATAATTAAAGTTACATGCAGCTGCTGCCCTAAAAGGTTATGGTTTTCAGTGGAAATGGATGATTAGAGAGAAGATGTTGAAGAAGATGCAGTAAAGAAGTGCCAATCCAAAGACCTTTTGTTTTAGTCAGAAAGTAAAAGACAGGAAACCTCCTTATGGCAGAATACCAGCAGAGTTCTAGATGTCAAAGCAGAAAAATGGGTACAAGGCAAGAAAGAAGAATTAGCTCAAGGAAGAAAAAATATTAGACAAATTCTCCCATTATATTAGCTCCTTTCCTTTTAATCTTCTTGGAATCCCTCAAAGACCTGGTTGTGCCATCAAACCCAGGGACTTGTTTAGATGGATACAGTATTGAGATTCAGTTATTTTCCAAATGGATTATTTGGTTATGATGTAGGCTGGGCACCCCTTGAATACCTTACCACTGTGACATTCTATTGTGGGGAAGAGTTTCCACTGTTGAAACTTAAGGGTCTTGGACTACATCTTTACAGTCCTTATTTTCTGACAGAGTAAATATATGTAAGTTTCGTGAATAGTACTAAGGCATTGAAAATTCTGCACTTGGTATGTAGTATTATCTATTCCTTATTTTTTCAATTACAGTAGTTTTGATTAATTTTCTATTATATATATTTCTGTACACATATGAAATGTATGTGTGTATGTGTATGTATTTTAACTCACCATATGTATATTTCATGGCACAAAAGATCTTAAAATTTTGCAGAACTTGGTCTTTACATTCACACTTGCCTGTGGAAACATCAAAACATCTGTTACCATGAATCACCAACATTTCTAACTGCTATTACATATTACAGTCACCAAATGAATGATAGGATTGTCCATATTCCCTGAATTGAACTTGAAAGGAACATATTATATATAAGAATAATAATATTTAGTGTATTATAATTTGGAAGAATACATTTATTTTAAGAAATGGATTATTTTTGCATGAAATATTCTTTGTGTATCATGGTGAGACTGCAAGTCCTGAATTGCTCAGAATATTTGAAAAAGCTCTTTGAAGTCTTAATAGGCTAACAAATGGGGAACATTTTGAAGGAGGTTAATTTTGGAATTAATATTTCTGAAATTCTAGCTATGCATTGGATCACATTGCCTACAAATACTAATTGCAGTGGAAAGACTATGGAAGAGGATAGGTCTCCATCTCCTGCTTGCGAGTGCATCAGAGGCATCTGGATGACTACTATGAGAAACAAAAAGCTGAAATAAGAAATAATTCTTGGCCTAATCCAGCAGGATTTTTCTTGAGTTTTTGTGGCCTTCTCCCACGGTTTTGATATGTTCTTTGTTTGTTTCATAAAAGAAATGGAAAGATTCAGAATATATTCTTCCACTACCAACAATTCTAAAATGTCTTCAGAAAAAGAAATTTATGATAGGCTAATTCAGACTAAATCTTCTGACACTTCATAGTTTCTCTGGCATTCTTAATCATTTTAACAATAATTTCTCCCTTCAGCACTAGAAAGAATATAAAAAGGAAAGAACTTTATATTCCTGCCCATTCCAGCAAAACGGACTTTAATAAATATTTGGTCAATGTGAAATCACACAAGGGGTAGCTGCAGGTGATGGTTTGAATGAGATACTCTCTTTTTTTAATATACCAAGCTAAAAATTTAGAAGGAACTGATTTGGGAGAAAGGGGGGGGGAGAAAAGACAACACTGATATACATAAAAGTCTAAAATCAATAATGTAAACCTAATAACGTATTTGAAAAAAAAAAATGGATTCCAGCACTCAGTTAAAGTTCATTGCAGAAACAATGATTGAAGAGAGTTCATCCGGGCCAGGAAGGGGAATGTGTCCTTCAGAAAAGCAGTATCTTGCCTACCCATGCTCTAATTCTTGCTCAAGTTTATTCTGAATTTTTGGCTTTTTTGAAACATAGGCCTAGAAATATGGGTAATGAAAACTACTTCATCAGAATAAGAACAGAACAATTGTTTTTATATGGTTCAAAATCAACTTTTACTGTTTATTAATCTGTAAGATTATCCTCCTAATGAGATGACCGGCAGATCTGTGAACACGTTCTTACCTGAATGTCGAAGAGCAGAGTATCCTTGTTCTTCCTCCCATTGCCATGCTGCTTCACTCTTGTTACGTGCAGAATAGAGACCAGGAATTTCATGGTACCACTCTATGTCTGCATTGCTAAAAATAAAAGAAATAAAATGTGAAATATTTCTTATGAAATCAGTTCAGTTCAAGTGTTATTATAGAGAACTGTCTTCATAAGATTTAGGGAGTCAGAAGTAAGTGAAAAAACAATCATGTCAATAATTTATATGTCAAACTTTTTAAACATAATCATGAAGAAAACATCCATTAACCTTATAGAGCAAAATTGTTCAGATGACATTTCCAGCAGTTCCAAGCATAAGCTCAAGAGATTTTTCAGGTCTCAACTTTCTCTAATCCAACATCCTTTATATATGTATAGACCAGTACAGTATACACTTGGGGAATATGCCATGTATCCAGTGATGCTACCTTTTAGGCCAGTGATTCTAAGTATAGTTTGATACATTCAGCTACTTTCAAATCTTAATGGTTCAAACTGAGTAGCAGAAAGAAAAGTCATGAAACTAATTTTGTATATCTTGTGGTCAAGTACTACTAAGCTTTTTTATTTTTGTTCATAAAATAGTATGAATGTGTTTGTAAATTTGTGCTTTTTTGGTGACTCTATTCAGACACAGGATTATTAAAGGTAAATTCCTGTCCCTATTATTATTAACCAACTTATTCAGTTTTTCTACTCACCTATTGATGCAGTCTCCCTTGATTGAATCACAACTTCCTGCACAATCACATGGTTGACAGCCATAATATCCAAATCCCCAGTATCCTACCATACACCGATCACACTGAGGACCAGCCACGCCAGGTTTGCAGGGACAATCACCATTGCTAGGGTCACAGAATGTGCTGTTGCTAAAAGGAAGCACAGCTGATCCAATGGGGTTGCAAGAGCACACTGCAAATCAGAACATGCATATGAGAGACTGCATCTTCATATTCAATAGAAATGACAGCTTTGTGTATTGTTTCTCTTGGTTATTTTTTCCTGAACATTTAATATATTTATAATATCCATGGGAATATTCCTCTAGAGCAGGGTATCAAACTTGTACGTCACGTGACATGTCACAATGTATCATGTCTTTTTCCATTGCCGGCAATGGGGTGGGCGCGGTTTCAGCATGATGCATCTGGCCCACAGTTTGACACCCCTGCTCTACAGTCTTCCAAATTTTCCTCTCATGCTTCTGAAAATTATGCCTATGCTTATCTCTTCTTAAATATATAAGAGGTTTCAACTAAATAGGAAGCAAAAAAGGTTAAATTAACTAAATAGTACACTTAAGTCCCAACAATATAGAGAGAGGGGGCATTAGTTTCAAGAAAACATGCATAAATTAGGCGTATGAAATAATGCACACATGATACAGTAAGGGCTTTATTCTCATCTGAGGTCATGTAATAGAATTCAGTTCACCTGTAACATTAGAAATAAACATTTAAGGAAAAGGCCAGTGTGTAGATAAATGTCAGCCATTTTCCTCCCTTTTCCTCTAATATCTTTGCTCATTACATTCGTTTCTCTTTTTCTGTTAACTAGAACTTCATGCTTCAAACGTGTTATTGATTCCATCATTTCTGATTTGGCTATAACATTACATATTATTATTAGATCTATTTTGGTATCGCTCACCAAATTCTGAAGTGCTGTTAATATTTTGAAAAGACCAAATTCATTTTAATGTGATAGTTCAAATTGTAAAAAAATCATTTTAATGTTGTATCTATAGTTGAGGGGTTTTATATTATTAGATGTTTACCACTCTATTAACATGGAATGCAACTGTATAACAAATGCCAAATGGTATCTGTTTGTATTAGTTCTATGAATTACATTTGGCAAACTTTTATAAAAAAGATATAAAAGAGCTAAATACTACCAGAATCTGTAATCATATCTCTGCTTAATGGATACCAAGATTATGAATTCAAGCAAAACAATTTCTGATGGACATATATATATATATAATTATTTTATATACTTGCTTGAGTTTATTGACTTTTGGGAAAAACATTTACATTTACAAATGTAATCTCCAGTTTTTAAAAAACTATTCATTGCTGTTTTGTTGTGTTTTTAAGAATGAAGTGTGGAAAAATATATGTTGCCCAGCATTATTAATTTGTATTATGTTATTAAGATATACACTAATCATTTTACCTGTATATATTTAAATGTTGATAATATTTTGAAACTGTTTCATTCTAGTTGTTTACTCTTGCTGGTGAGTTTGATGACTTTTTCATATTACTAATTCTATAAATTAAAGATTAAACATGGACTAGCATTTTTAGTCACTTTTAGCATTTTGCATGAAAGCTTTGGTCAGTTAACTAATTCAAATGGAACAATAAAATTAAAAATATGAGGGCTAGGTAATGCTATTGGAAAATTGGAAAAAATACTTTGGAATACATAGGAATGCAAATAAAGCATTTATTTGCAATTCAACAGAGCAGATGTGTAATTTGTCAAGATTGTGTAGCAACTTTAAGGAATCAAAGCCTGTTCAATGCATTGCAGATAGAAGCTGTGTTCACTGTACTCTATATTCCTAAACTGCTCTTCTAAATTGAATCCTGTACACTTCATCATCCTCATCTTCATGCACACCAGATAATCCCTCTAAATGGAAGCTCTAAATTATATAAATAATTCTGATCACCCTATTTGCCTGGCTTGAGGCTGATAAAATTCACAGTTGAGCAGAAATGTAGTTGAGATAGAATTAAAACTGAGGTTCCCTTGTTCCAACTCTATGTTGCATGGATATTGTGTGCAGTATTTATTTAGAGAATCTAAAATACTGGTATTAAATAACTTGTATAATAAGTATATTTTAAGTTCCCTCCTAAACTGTAGCAAGAAAAGAACTGTTTCCTCTGCAGTACTTCCTAGTTGTAATTTAAAAAAATAATAATTATCCACACTATACTAGAATACAACTGTCTGGTATGCATACATAAAAGAAGCCTAAAGTAAAAGCCCTGATATATTAACTAAAACCCTAATATATTAATAATCACTCAAATGTTTGAAGCTTGCAAAATTAGAATTGGCTTACATTTGCAGGTGTCTGGAGCAGAAAAAGGCTTTCTGAGATCTCGATAATAGCCTGGCTTGCAACGTTCACAATGCTGTCCTTCAGTATTATGTTGACAGTTGTCACAAAGGCCCCCACTTTGATTCCCTGATGCCAGCCATGTGTCCATATCAAAGTGACAAGTGTCAGAATGCCCATTGCATTTACAAGCTGAAACATACCCAAGATTAAGGAGGGTGGAGGAGAAAGAAAACCAGGATTTTGCTGTTTTGTTAAAAAAATGAATACAACATGGAAACTGTAAATATTGAAAGCAAATGATATTAGAATATATGCTTTTGTAAAATGAGCAGATTGTATTATTGTATAGTTTTTTAGTATATTTAGCTTGTCAAATGTGAAATTGCTAAAATTATAATTTTATTTGGATGGATAGATGGATGGATGAATAGACAAGTATCATTTTTATTTAAATAATATTTCCAATAAAATACTGTAAAAGCAAGAAAATACAATAAAAATTCATGGTCTTTCAAAATGTTAAATTTAATCAAATTTCAAATCAGTTTTTCTTGGCATACATTTAGAATCACTGTAAATAGTGTTTATTTCTGGGTACATGTATTTTAAATGAAAGCTGCAAACCTTCTGATTTTACTTCAGAACATTTTATTTAAATGCTATGGGAAAATATAAGTAACAATTCCTTGACTTTTCAATAGACCAAACAATATGACTTTCTTCAATCTGATTCTCTCCATACAGTATGTACTAAATAATCTCTTAAAGACTGGAATGTTTTTTTAAACCAATGGGCTTTCTCAGAATTGTCAAACAGGATCCCATCACTGAACAATAAGTGGAATTAGATTACCTATAAAGATGATTCTAATTCTCAATAGACATGGTCTATTTGGGATTAGGAGAGTTTTAGTCCAAGATATCAAGGGCGCCAGTTCAGGGAAACTTCAAACAGTACTTTTTCAGTAAGTGTCTGTTCTTATTTTTGTAAATTGAGAAATGCTTTAAATTAAAAGATTGTGGATGGTAGTTTTAGTTTTGTCTTGAACTATTTTACCCAATCATCTGCAGACGAGAACTCTGTTTTTACACAATAGCCTATAAATAATTTCATTAGTTTGGTCTCATACTTACATTTGCATCCATTTGGAGCTCCTGTTTGGCCATTTGCAGCATGCCAGGGCTGGTCATTGTAAAGAGGGGCACAATACTGACAGTGAGTTCCTGCAGTATTATGTTTACAAATGCATCTCCCATGGAGCTAACAATTGAAAACAACCATGTTTGCAATGTGTACAGATTTCAACATTCAGATATCCCCATTACACAATTTCACATAATATGTACTACTCTAAGGCAATAGAATAGCCCTTTATGACTAAAATAATTCATTTTTGAAAACTGATGGCTCAGAGCTTATCCAATTAATAATCAGTGCACTTCCCTACCATGAATTTCAAGTTTTAAGAGGATTTAATATTCTTAATGCTGTTTCCTACACAACAAATGGGCTGTATGGTTTTTTTTGTAGAATTAAGCAAATGCATAGATGCTAGGAAACTGAGAATAGGGAAAGGCTGCTTCAGCTCACACAATAGGTAAATTGTACAAAATGGGAAAACATGTATAATTGGAGAAAGAAGACAAGGTTGCAGTGATACTGACAATTATTCATATTCTAATCTTCCATTAAACACTTATTATACTGTGCAACTTCTTTAACATAAAAGCTATAATACTAAAAAAAATGCTGCCAAAATGAAATGCATTTTTCTGAAACAAAATACCACTTAAGCATCACAAACACACTCTATAGAGAATAAGTGATACTGTTGCATTTGTTGAATAATTTTGGAATGACTGATTCCTATTAGTTCTATTTAAAAATAAGATATACATACATTAAACAAACTAGTTTATATAAAATGATACTCATCGTAATTGGCCTTCTGTTAAAATACTTGCCTGTTCCTTTTTATATTATTTTTCTTAATACTTTGTAACTTCAGTTTTATTTTGGCTCCAAAGTAGTAAAAAGATACACTTCATGTATCATAATGTGTTGTAGAGTCAAACTAGAAGAGGAAAATGCAATCTGTGGAGGACTAGGAAAAGTATTGCAGACAAAAGATATTTTCTTTAGAAAATATGTATTTCTAAAGATTATTCTGAATCCTTCATGATATCCATAAGAAGGCCTGATTGTGGTGGGCAAGGATTTATAGTATTAGAAGGACATTTATGAAAACCATGATATAAAATATTCTTATGATGCTACGGTGCAATTTATTCAATCTTGCTTGAATATTATGACAAGGCCACATAATAGCAGAGTAGACAATGGGCTTCATACTTCAATGTTATTATACCCACATGTCAACTATATGATTTAAGAGATTCAAACAAGACGTACAGTTGTATTTATCAATTTCCACTGATGATGAGATGTACATATTGAAGCCATATAGAGGAATGGAAGTACAATCCATGGGATTCATAACAGTAGGTTTCCTTCCAGCTTCAATAAACAATATCTTTTTGCAGAGACTTCAAGCTCCTATTTCTTATATACACATATATTTTGCATGATTGCCACCTAAGATCTGTAGTTAGTTTTGGAATGTAAACATTTGATAAAAATGAAAAGTCCCAGTATTCCTGCTTAGTGATATGGAAAAGGCAAAATCCCATGTAGTGCATCATAAGTGATACCATATTCATGAAAAGCACGTCAGTTACGAGGTGAATCCCAACATAAGAGGATACCAGGTTAATACTGATCTAAATATTTCCATTTGAAAATGTTATAAGGAATGGCTAAACAGACACATTTCCCAGGCGGTTTCATTATTTTGCAAATCAACACAAGTTCATTTAACCAGAATACTTTTTCACACATGCTATTTTTCATTCTGTCACTAGGCCTTTCACTTCACTTACAGACTGCTTTTCTTCTTAGCTTGACAGCTCTCTCGTAATGTCATTTATTATGCTCTACAAGGCAAACAGTGTTACAAAAGTTGACCTATGTAAAATAAACGAGTGACTGATTTTCACACATGAAGACAGTTGCTAGGGCATGTTTCCTTCCATTGCCTTTTTGTTCTTGAATTAATATATTCAATTAGTTCTTTTCAAATTGCCTGTTGTTTATAAGAAAATCCTTCATGACTTATGTTCCTCCATATACTGTATCAAGAAAGAAGTGAACAGTCAGCTGTAGACTAAGTTGCCTTCTCTACACCCCTTTGATTATTCTTAATTATATTGAAAGATGTCTTGTTTTTTAATTTTCAAGTTCAGGGAGGTTTGTTTTTAATAGATGTCATAGGAATACATGCTGAAAAAGTAAAAGCCTTCTAAACAATATCAAAAGAATAACAAAAAACAATATCAAAAGAATAACAAAAAACAAATCCTTAGGAAATGGCTTTAAACTATCAATCTTGCACTATGCTTTTTTCAAGAGAATGAAAGGCAAAATGCCACAGCAATAAATATCTTCTGTCAGGAAACTACACAAAATAAAGGAGTTTTTTGTACTGTATGACCTGTCTTGCAGCCATTTTGAAACTGGTTTGATTACCTACATTTTTATTTTTATTTTGGGATATAAGTATAGTGATTGTGAGAATGCTTAAATGGAAATATATTTCCTAAATAAAAAAGCCTTTCCCAGATTTGATATTAGCTTTTCTACTATTTCTACTATTGAACAAGTAATCCTACATCCTATTACAATTACAAATGAAATGTTTCATTAAATAAGGAATTCATTAACAATAAAATTTAAATACCAACATGTTATATGCCCAATTACCAATGAGATGTTACAGTATTGCACAAACTGTGAACAGGTTATTTGTCTACATCCACCAACTGACATAAGTGTAGTGTTTTTTTTTAAAAAAAAAAAACCTTTAAAAATATTTAAAATTATTAAGAAGGTAATTTCAATAGCCTGTGACGGGGTCCTACAAAAGCCCTTCTTCTAAAGGGCTGAGAATTTTGAGACTGAGTTTTGTAATGAATGTTTAAAAATAACAAAAAAGGTTTGTTAGATATGCATGGAACTTGAAGAAAGACAAGGAAATTATCAGACTGCTAGTTGGAAAAGATGCATAGATGATAGTGAATAATAGGAAGCTGAACTGCTTAATTCGTTCTTTACATCTCCTTTTAACCAAAAGAAAAAAAAAGTAGTCCAACCTGTCAGAGAGTATACCATGAGGGATAGAAGACAAACACCCGTCAAATTAGCAAAGATGTTATGAGATAACATGGTGCTTTTAATGAAGTTTCTAGGGCAGCGGTTCTCAACCTATGGGTCGCAACCCCATTTGGGGTCAATCGACCATTTCACGGGGGTCGCCAAGCAAGGCTGTCCGCCATTTTTTTGTACGCCATTTTTTCCCCTTTTCCGGCGGGTGCCTTACCTCCCTTGGGCTGGGCCAGCTGGTGGTCGGCTTGCTCCGTCTCTGCCGCTTGCCAGCTACGCCTCGGCCGACGCAGGGGGCGGAACCACGCATGCGCGGCGCTCCCGGGCAGGGAAAGTCCTCGACGTACGACCGGTTGGGTAGTCCTCAACGTACGACCGGTTTAGTCCTCGACTTACGACCGGTTTAGTCCTCGACTTACGACCGGTTGGGGGTCGTGGCATTAAAAAGGTTGAGAACCACTGTTCTAGGGCTAGAAGGATTACATCCCAATATACTAAAGGAATGGCAGATGTGATTTCAGAACCATTAACTGTAATTTTGAGAACTTCTGGAATACAGAGAAAATGCCAGGAGACTGTAGAAAAACTAACATTTTTCTACAGGAACAAAGAAAACCCATGAAACTACAGACCAATCAGCTTGACTTCAATACCTAGAAAAATCCTAAAAAAGATCATCGGTAAGTGTGCAAATGCTTAGAAGAGACAAGGCAATTACCAGAAGTCCACATGGGTCTGTGGCAGAATAAACTGCTTTTTTTGACAAATTGACTAGTAGATCAAAAAGTACTTTGGATGTGGTGTACCAAAACTTCAGTAAAGCACTTGATAAAGTTGACCATAGCCTCCCTCCTAGATAAACAGAAAAATGTGGAATGGATAGTCCCGCTACCTGGTGGAGTTACAGTGTTTGAACAAGCATATCCAGTATGTGGAGCTAAATCTATGCTTACATGGAGGGAGATATCCCAGGGCGCTGTCCTGGACCTGGTGTTCTTTGACTTTGTTCTTTGATATTATTAGCTATATCTTTAATAATACTGAAGATATTATACAAATAGTCCTTGATTTATGACTGTAATTGAGTCTGGAATTATAGTTGTATAGTAATTGCAGTAGTAATTCTTGGCATCGCATAAACACACCTGATTATTCCACATTTTTGTGGTGTTCATTAAACAAATCAATTTTCCCCAATGCGTGCTTTTGCTGGAAACCAGAAATGCTGGAAACTGGCAAAAATGTTGCAAATGTCATGTGACCACAGGACACCGTAAATGGCCATAATGGTGAGCTGGTTGCCAATTGCATAAAATGCAATCGTGTGACTTTGCAGCTGTCATCACTTTCAAAATGTGTTATAAAGAGCTTTTAGGCGAGGGGTCCATCATAACTTTAAATAATTTTTAAGTGAATGGTTGTAAATTGAGAAGTATGGTATGATAATTCATGAACAGAAGGATCTCTCAAGACTGTCCAACCCTTCAAATGCTGCCTGTCTAAATGTGGCTCACATGGCATAAATATGAAATGGGGAGAAGGAAAGAAGGGACAGTAATTGAAAAACATATGGTATACTAGAAAATGGTCTAAAAGTTTACAATCCAGTATAGCAAATCTTTGGCCTCTGAAATAGGTCCTTTCTACTGGAACAAGTGGAGTGAGCTAGTTTGCCTCCAGCAGCTCAGAAGATTGCTACACAGCAAGCAACCTTTTATAATAATCATAAATTGTACACATGCGTGGATAAAGGGAAAAGGATGTCATTAATAATTCAAGCAACTGGAAAAAAATATGGGAAAAAGATCACAGGTTTGCTAAAACCTCCAGAAATAAAGAGTGGCATAACCAGTTTCAACAAAGCACTCGATCAGGAGAAAAGTTCCCTCTGAAACGAGATGAGGTCTAAGGGACAGGTAAATGCATGCAGCCCATGTAATTTTTCAAGAACTTTTGATACTAGTTCAAAAAATTTGTATTTGAGGTCCTACTGAATTGATTCAGTAATAACCGCTGTATATTTATTTATTTAATAAATAAATAAGTATATCCATTTATATGCATATAAATATGTATGTAAATATGTATACCCATTTATATGTATACCCATTTAAAGTGCTAGCAACAGATCTACCTCTTCCCTTAGTATGAGGCACCTGATAACATAAGCTAGGACATCTAATATTTCAGAGGAGTGATCTGGAAATTCTAACATTCCATCAAAATGGCATCTAATTGAGCACAAGATTTTCAACGAATTATCTGTCCTTCCAAGATTTGAACAATACAAACTTACCACGTGGAAGACTCCTGCTGCTTTGACAGGCCTAAAACCTTTAATAGGTGCACAGCGATCTGCATGGCCATTGCAAAAACAGCTCCCCTTCACAATAAAATCATAGACTGCGTAATACGTTAGCTGTGGTGGGTTTGCATTCAGATCATTGCTGTGACATGGGCAGGATTGTCGCTTTAGCAGTTGCACTCGAAGGTTCGTGATTTTCAACTGTGCCTGAATTTTAGGACTGTAAGGGTCATCAGCAGAGTTTGGAGGTGACAGAGCTCGATATATAACCTGCAAATAATAAATAAATTGAAACTAATCAGTGAAATAAAAAAGGTACACCCACTTGGAATTTAAAAATGCGTGTGTAGGAGATGACCAGGCTGAGTCTGAGGGAGGGGTTTTGCACATCATCAGTCTCAAGTCCCTTTGTGCTCACAAGAGGTCTAAATCCATCCCACCTTGAATTCCATTGACTCTTATCTACTGCCAATTTTCTTCGATCGTTAGTAGTCCAGATTCTTGTCTAAAGTCTTAGCATGTATTCATTTGAACTAACTTGGCTCCTGATTTCTTGTGCTTGACAGCTTGTAAAGAGTTTAGCACCTCAAACACAGAGCAAGATATTGTTCCCTGCATATTTTATTTATTGAAAGCCTGTGACCTCTAGACTTTATTTACAAAGATTTTAAATGTTAGATTTTAAGATTGCCATTACATGAGGAGTTTTATTGTTGGAAAAATGCCTATAAATGAACCAATAATAAAGCTCCTAGTTTTGTCCTGTCCTTGAGGCTGTAGAATATTTCATGAATGAACAAGATTTTGTTCATTTATTAAACAGAATTGCTAGCTTGTCTTTTTTTCCTTAATAATAAAGGAATCACACATTTGTATCTATGTTAATCATGAAACAGAAAAGTTCCAGATCCAGGGGAGAAAGAAATAATGATATTTTAAATTTCTGCCGAATAATGCTGCTGTAGTTTAGTTTCAATGTGCTCTACAAATGTGAAATTTAAATAATCTTTTGCCATCATAGTCTCTGTTACTGAAGTAAGGATATAACAAATATGTTCCAAAAATATCTCAACATCATCTGAGTATATGTATTCTGTATTAAACTGCAGCAGAAGAAGCATGTTACATGTCCCGTCCATGAAGGTCTGTCATCTGGTGGAACCCAGGAAGAAATATTTTTCTGCTGTACCACCTGTCCTAGAGGATATCAATCCACACCCGCCACCCCAAAAGATCAGTTTGGCTCTGACATTGTAGGCCGTTTACAAGGCTCTGAAAATGTTATGTTCAAGGTATGGGATTGGAGGATCAGTTGGAGCCTGTGAAATAATTGTATTGAAATGGTTGCATTGATGATTATTTCTCTCTCTCTCTCTCTCTCTCTCTCTCTCTCTCTCTCTCTCTCTCTCTCTCTCTCTCATGATTTTTAAAAACACAGCAGCTGATTGATATTTTGAATTTTGTTTGTGTGTATTTTTGTTTTTGTTAGCTACCCAGAGCTGCTTGTATGAGGCAGGTGGCCTTGTGAATTAAATAAACCAAACCAAATAAATAAGTTATGCAACCAAACATACTCTGAAACCTCAAAAGATTTAAGTCAAGCCATTATGTTTTTCTCAATCTGGTTGCAACCTCTGTCTCAGTTTTCCAGGATTTTTCACAGATAATAAATATGAAATGGATTGTTTCAACTTCTAACTGGTTCCAAGATTGTCATGTCTAATCACTTTTTTATCTAGCTGGAGATTCTTTGCTGACCAAGCATTGGCTTCCTTTTTGAACTACCAAACTTCCCTGAGACACTGGGGGCCACTTAGGGTGGGGAGGGGTTGTAAGAGAAAAGAAAGGATTTAGATAATTTACATTTCTGAACGGAATGAATGCAGTGTGCTTTTGTCTATTCTGTCAGCATGCCAAATTTGGCAGCAGCCAATGTGACAAGAGACAGACACAACTGAATATTTAAATGCCAGCAAGCATGACTTTAGAATATATCTTTAGAATATATCTAAGGGTTTTTATCATATAAAATCAGTGCTTTTTTTCTAAAAAAAAAAAAAAAAGGTGCCGGAACTCAAATACGTCATACAACCCGCCTTGCCTACCCTACAAGGTTCCATCCAAAAAAGGTGCTGGAACTCCATTCTGGGCGTTCTATGAGAAAAAAAGCCCTGTATAAAATAATAATAAAAATAGTCTGTTGGATACATGTAAAGGTGCCAATTTGTAAATCAAATATTTTCTTTTGGGTGTTTTGAAATGAGATATGCTGTATGTTGTAAGGAATAATAATGCTACTGTATTTCTTCAGATACCAAGGGAGAAAGAAACAAGAGTGAGAATTGCATTGAGAAAGCAATGCTCATGGGTTGTGTTGGACCTGAGTAAAAGATGCCTTAAGATATGGAAGAAATTAGTTTTCTCAAACCGCCAGATGGTGGCAAATAAATTCAATAAATAAATAAATAATAAAATAGTTTGGACCACAATAGAATTTTAGACAATTTCCTTTTTTGCTAAATGAGGAAAATTCAGGCTGATAATTTTTCAAGAAATAGACCACTCGTGTTTCCTTCAATTAAAAATAATCTGCATTGTATGTTTCTTTGTTCTTTCTGCATTGTTTATTTTTTAAAAGCAGATTTTAAGGGAAAAATAACATTGATACATATAATAATTCATATAGATCCTAGTTTTATTAACCTCTATTATCTGCAGTTTATAAATTAAAGGCTAGTAGGCAATCACAGTTTATAGTTAAAGGCAAAAGAGCCCTTATTCATTATTTCAGACTTCATTTCAGTAATGAAAATAATTTGTAGCATTTGGCAAAATTCTGTACATACTTTTCTAAGATTGCCGTGCTAACCAAACCCTAGAAAATACCGTACATAAAAGCACACAATTAAGTTTACTAGAAATAAGGCATCAAAAAAGGAATAGAAGTACCTTGGCGTTACTGCATGGGAAGGATATATAGCAGTGATGGTGAACCTTTTAGAGACCGAGTGCCCAAAAACTGGCCCCGCCCCCGCTCCACCCCCTGCCCCGCCCCCGCTCCACCCATCCCTTACCCTGCCTGCCCGCAGGGCCACTCACTGCCTCCAGGGCCCACCACAGATCGCTCAGGCAGCCCAGCAGCACTATGGCGGTCATGCCCTCTGCCCGCACCCTGCAGCATCAACTGTGCACGATGGGGTGTGAGGGCAGAGTCTTGTCTACGCTGCCTGGCTGCCATGTCCTTGGCTGCGCTGCTCCACGTGGGCCACGTTCAGGGGCATCTCTCCTTCAGGGGGCTGCTGGAGAGGAGGGGGTCACGGGGGAGGTGAGGCTGAGGCAATGGCACATGTGCCCACAGAGAGGGCTCTGAGTGCTGCCTCTGGCACCCGTGCCATAGGTTCGCCACCACTGATATATAGTTTCTTGCTGCATAACTCCTACTTCCCATAGGTCCCACAAAGTACTGGTAACAGTAATTCAAGATTAGGTGGCCTGTCTCTATTACCAACACTGCCTGCCTATTTCCCACATTGCTTGCCTGGAGCTACAAAATAGGATTTCTGGCTCAGTGTTAAAAAGCTATCGATTTATTATTGCCTTTTCTGCAAAGTCCAGTATTGCTCCCTTTTATCACCACTACCTGGGTATTTTGCTAAGCAATTGTCTATTGTTTTCTGCTTTCAGCAATGGGATTGTTGTTATTTTAGGCAATGAAAATAACTGCCTCCTGAGTGTGTGCTAATACGCTGCCAAAACCTCCTAGTTAGAGAGATGCAAACAACAAAACAATGCCTTGCAAATTAGTCTCAAGTTTGTATCTTATATATATATAATAGCAGTGCTTTTTTTCTAAAAAAAAAAAAAAGCTGCTGGAACTCTCACATATCATACAACCCGCCTTGCCTACCCTACAAGGTTCCATCCAAAAAAGGTGCCAGAACTCCGTTCTGAGCGTTCTATGAGAAAAAAAGCCCTGTATAATAGCACGAACATTAGCAAGCCCTAGCTAATTGTAGTGGGGGAGGGAACCAGTTAAAGCAGAGCTGAACAGACCTGGAGGAGATCTGCTGGAGCTGCAGAGCTTGGCAGAATCCCCAGGATCGGCGCACGTGGTGGCATGGTAATTGAAGCTTCCGGAAGAGAAAAGAAGGAGGAGGGCGGAGACAAGGTATAAAGGAGGCAGTTTTTGGTGGGAGAGGGAGAGAAAGAGCAAGAAGAGGCTCAGCAAAGCAGTGAGGAGAGACAGAGCAAGCCGCATGTTTTCAGGCTGAGGGTGACTGAACTAGCCGCGTTTGGAGCAAGCCGCATTTTTTTTAAGGCCAAGGATGACTGAACTAGCTGCGTTTTGGGCAAGCCGCATGTTTTCAGGCCGAGGGTGACTGAACTAGCCGCGTTTGGAACAAGCCGTATGTTTTCAGGCGGAGGATGACTGAACTAGCTGCGTTTGGAACAAGCCGCATGTTTTCAGGCCGAGGGTGAATGAACTAGCCGCGTTTGGAACAAGCCGCATGTTTTCAGGCCGAGGATGACTGAACTAGCCGCATTTGGAGCAAGCCGCATGTTTTCAGGCCGAGGATGACTGAACTAGCTGCGTTTTGGGCAAGCCGCATGTTTTCAGGCCGAGGGTGA